GTCTCGGCCTTGCTTTTGCTTCAGAGCCGAGGCTGCATCGATTTAAAAGGTTTAGGGGTTTGGGCTTCGTTTCCTATGGCATCTTGCTACGGAAGTGGTCATGTGAGTACGCACTACGTGAAAGGGCTGGCAGGTCACAGAAGGAGACTTCACTGGCCCGGGCCTCACCACGCCTGGGGCAACCAGTTGCCAACAGAATTTTGCAATACCGGGGGTATCGGTATATGGCCCCTGATGATGGGTACTCAATATTATACATAATATTTCAGATCAAATAGAGTAGAAGGAGGGTCCAGGTAGACAAGTCAAAGATCCTTTCCCAAGAACTCGATCCATTGCCTCCGATCGCATGTGATTTTGCGAAACTATTGAAGCCTGCATCAAGGCCTGTCTCGCGCTTGACTAAATTCAACAGCTTTGTAGCCAACAGGATGACGGTATCTCATAGTTGTAAAAACTACTGCTACTGCTTGATTAGTGTGACAGTAATAGTCATCACAACTTCGAAATTTCTTTTCCATTGACTACTGGAAGCTGCTTCTAAACCTTTGATGCAGCAACTCCCAGTCAAGGGCGGCCGCAAGTATCCAAGTGTCCAAGGTCCAGGCTGAGCAGGTTGTTCCGCAGAACAACCTTGAGCTCAGTCAGCTGCTCCAGTTTCTGCAGGCTCTTTGCCACGGCTGTTGCACCTGCTGCACCTCGGGCGGAGAGGCTTCCGTTGTCAGGGCGGGGATTGCATCGCGGGCGTTGCGAAGCAGAGCCATGACACACTAAGGAAATGCGAGCCCTCATGAACGATCTTGGATGCTGGGCTGAGCTTGTTCCGTCCCCCACGAACCCCACAGGAAAAACTCGGGCTCAAGTCTATAGGAAGCATCATGCGCAGGTGGGTCGAACATATTTAGTTCTACAGAGCCACTGACTTCCGCACGGTAGATCCGGTAGTAGATAGAGAGTGTGCTTGAGGGGGCCGTGGAAACCGCAACTCATATACAATCTTGCAAGACTTCTACCATACTCGTCGTCGATTTGGAGTGTCTGCCGGTCAAGTGATCAGCACCACACCTGGCACAGCCTGTCAATTCCCATTGCAAGCCCTTGGCAAAAGCTCCATAGAACTTGCCGGAATACCTCCTATCTGAAAGTAGTTCAGGGTGTACAAAACTGTCGGACCCTGGAATGTTGACAAGTATACATGATTGGGGAAGTCGTGAAGGCTAGATGCTCCGAGGTCCCGGGCCAATCTTGTTGTGTTGCAGGTTGAGGTGGAGCTTCCCGAGCTGCACGAGATTGCCGAGGGCGAGGGCCAGGGAGTTGGCGCTGTCGTCGCCTCGGTGCAGGGCGGAAACTCTCGCGACCGCTCAAGTGCTGCTCCGCCGGCCGCAGGAGCCAGTGGGCTCAGCAGAGATACTGAAATCACGGCGTAAAGGGGTGGGGAAAGAAGTCGACATGCCTTTCAATAATCACATCCGCGCTTACGATGCCCCGTGCACACAACTCTGGAGCAAGAGCGCGGTCGGAGGGTTTTCGGCCACATGCATCCATGACTGCGCAGAAAACCTAGCATAGCACCAGATTGACAACTACGCAGCGCGTGTTTGGGTGACACCATTTTCTGGCTTTGGGGATTAAGGCTACGTGTTCGGGTATCCAACTAATTTGGACACTGTTTGCGAGTTGACGAGGATTGAGATCGAGAGCCTCTGCCTTGTTGTACCACTGCTGTGCCGCAAACGTGATTCCAGATCTGTGACAGGAAGAGGACCCCCTGTCGGAAAAAAAAAAAAACATAATGTCTCCCAAGATGGCTGACCTGCGCATGCCTTAACTTGTGGATTTTCAGCTTCTGCGACCAATCCGTGCTGCAGTGCTGGACATGGTGGCTATGAAACAGAGAATTGTCAGGGACAAGTTCGATCCCTCTCGAGACCCTTTCTATTCCTTTCTGGCAATCCCCGCCCACAGCTAGGTGACTTCTGTCGGGCTGTGCTCTGAAGATTCTGCCCACCCCCCCCTCCTTAGCCCTGGGCGCAGCTCGCTGCTCGTCAGGTCCAAGGTCAGCTTCTCGAGCTGCCGCTGCAGGCCCAGGCCACGGGCCAGGGTCAGGACATTCTCCGAGCCTCAAAAACCCCCACGAAACGAAAACTGCTGTGCCTTTTTCTCTTTCCTTCTCCTTGCTGAACTCGGCTTTGGTGTACGAGGCCCCTGGCCGATTCCGCAGAGCTCGAAGTTCAGATCCAGCTCTCGCAGGTGAAGCACCGGCAGCGCGGAGAGGAAGCGGCCGAGCAGCTTAAAGTCTCGATCTTCCCTGCCTCTGGTGAGGATTTAGGGTTCAACGTTATAAGTTATCGACGGGATCTGTGCTGAGCTGAACACCGAACTTTCTCATGAGCTTTCCCGCTTCCAGCGACTCGAGGGTGCCCGCTTCCTGTGCGTCCGCAGACCCGCAGATTCTACTGTTCCTTTCCGCAGACACCCACCAGCAAGACATCTCACGTTTGCACGCCAAGCAATAGCAAGATCTCTTCGCAGAAAGCATGTTGCATCGCGGATGGAAGGATAGAGAGCTTATTCATAACATACACATGCACACTCATTCATACATATGTATATATATACATATGTATGTATGCATGTATGTATGTATGTACGCAAGCACATACACATCACCTATGCATATACACATTACATATCCATATCCACATACATGTACACATACACATACACATACATATACACATACACATACACATACACATACATACACATATACATATACATATACATATACATATACATATACATATACATATACATATACATATACATATACATATATGTATATATATATATATATATGTATATATATATATATATATATATATATCCACATACCTATACGTATAAATATCCATATACATATGCATATGCATATACATATTCATATGCATATACATATGCATATACATATACATGTACATATACATATACATATACATATACACGTGTATGTATATATGTATACATATACATATACATATACCCCTCTTTATATATACATACACACAAACATTTACATACACATAAACATGCACATACACATACACAAACACATATACATCATATGTACATGTGTATTTATATATATATATATATGTATATATGCATTCGTATATGTGCACACACATAATGTGTGTGTGTATATATATATATATACATATATGGTACCCCAAAAAACACACACACACACACACACACACACACACACGAACGCCCTCATGTTCATTACAACGAGCTTCATCTTCGACGGAAAAAGGCTGCAGCTCAGGGTCTGGAGTTCGGGGACTCGCGATGCGGAATACTGTGATGCCCGAAATTAGTTCCGTTGCTGACAGTACATATGCTTCCGCGACACGAAATGCTTCGATGCTGTAATCCGCTGTTCCACTGACTCCAAAAGGGTATGCCTTGATATCGCAAAACTATCTTTCCACATTTACACAATGGCAAGAGCAAATAATTCCACAAGTCCTATTCCGGAATTCCAAATTTCCAGATTTGCGGGGGCTAATAATTCCAGAATTCCAGATTTGCAATGGCTAACTCTGCCAGAATTCCAGGCTTCCAGGCTTCCAGAATTCCAGAAGTCCAGAATTCCAGATTTCCAGAATTCCAGAATTCTAGAATTCCAGACTTCTAGAATTCCAGAAGTGCAGAATTCCAGAATTCCAGAAGTCCAGATTTCCAGTTTTCCAGAACTCCAGATTTTCCAATCGGGAAGAATTCTAGATCTGATAAACCTGGAATCCTGGAAGTATTAGCTCTCGCAAATCTGGAATTCTGGAATTATTGACCTCTTGATTTGTGGCGGCTACTAAATCCCGAATTCTACATTTGCGGGGGCCCACAATTCCAGAATTGCAGTTCTTAGAGATTTCCAAAATTCCTGATTATGCAATCTACAGGTATCTTTCAGATTCTACAATCTGGAATACTGGAATGGTTTCTCTTGATCTCTAAACAGGTACCAGATTTAAGACATCCCCTATATCATCCTATATCCTTAAAGTCTCTAAATTTTCTAACCCCTAGCCCTATGTACTGGATGTAGTGAATTCCCTAAATCCCTAAAAGGAACCTACTTCTGACCCTCATGGTTAGGATTCAGGTGTTCCCATGATTGAGAGGGAATTTCGGGAACTAATGAATCCGTTAAACCCAATACACAGGGACAACGATCAAGGAATTTGGTGAATTTAAGGAATCGAGGAAGTCCTTAAAGGCAGGACATGGGGGTCTGAGAGTAGGGACTGTAGGCAACTAATGCTAACCGTAATCCAAGACAGGGGGGAATTTAGGAAATTATTAAGGTCAAGCAAAATAATACATAGGCAATAGTAAGATATGTCGTGTATAGTTAACAGCTAAACTATACATCTCGTACTAACGAAGCTTCAATGCACTACAGGAACCCTCGAATCCTGGATTCTTGGTTTCTTTTATGTAACCCGTTAGGAAAGAAGCTTCGAACTAGTTACAGAATACTCACATCATGGGCTCCTGCATGTCTTTACATAGTTAGCTCGTTTACAATAACAGGAAATCTTCGATCCTGCATGCACTGCGTGGCTGTTTTCTCTGAATATAACCAATAATATCCCGTGCTAAATAAGCATCGATTTATTAGAGGACTTGCGCGGAGGTTGGGTCGCGTATTGGGCTCACTATTTTCACTCTGCAAAAGAGGGCTGCGGTGAGTCGCAGTCAGGTTAAAGCCCTTTAGCTCAAACCCTCTTCTCTCTACACTGTACAGCTACTTACCTAGGTTTCCTAGTGTAGCCTACAAAAATCTCGCACCCCCCTTAGAGGTAGGGGTTTGAGAAAGCCTCCCGCGGGGCATCCCGCAGTCGAAGGGTGAGACGCCCCTTGTAGGGCGGAGCGTCCCGCACACAGGGCTGGCAGCCGAAAGGCTCGCCCTGCGGTGCTACCCGCTAGGGGCCTCAAGGTGGAGGCTCCCAGTGGCGGGAGTTGTTCACCGCACTGCCGGGCTTGGTGCTTTGGTGCCCGTTGCGGCAGTGGAGACACACCCTGTGTCTGATCGTTGCCCCTTCCATGAATGGGCAACCGCGCTGTTGGCCATGGTACCGGCGCACGACGCGGCCGGTGGCCACTTGAAAGGCGAACCCGGTCCAGAGGAACTCGGTGTTCTGAGGATCCTGAGCCCCCCTAGGCTGTTGCTCCCTCCTTTCCTCTTGCGCCTCTTGGGGCGCTTCTGGCCCTAGCCAGACCTCAGTGGCCCTTTGAGCTGCACGCGGCGGCTCTTCGGCACGCTCGGCGTGGTGTTCGATCTCATCCTCCAGCTCCGGCTCCTGCCTGTCACGTCTGCACCTGCAGAGCCAGGAGACTAAACCCCAAAGCATCCACAGGAAGGCCAGGAAGCCTAGGGCCGCGAAGCCGAGCACCAGCTCTGCGAAGTCGTGCCCTTGGGCCTTGGGCCATGAGCGCCGAGCTTGCAAGCTTGGTCGGCGGTCTCATTTTCCAGGGGCTTGCCTGGATCGACTTGATCGTGCCCTTTTGGGCCAGAGCCTCGGTGGCGCCTGCGACCGCATCGAGGTCCACCATGCCCATGGAGGGCAGGGATTGCCGCACCTCCGGTCCAGTCTTCGAGTGCTTGGTAGCGAAGTTTGCCGGATTTTCGGTTCCCTTAACTTTTCTCAGTTCGAAAAGTTTGGCTCTGAGCGCGCCTTGGACAAAGAATTCCGCGACTTCCAGGTGTCTCAGCTTGGACCCTGGTCCTATGCGTTTGGCGGCTCCGATCGAAGCTGCGGAGTCGGCCCAGAGCCGCGGCAAGCCGCAGGCTGGGGCGAAGTCTTTCTCCGCAAGCTCTCGTAGGAAGACGGCCTCCCTTGCTGCTCGCGACACTCCCCGGATCTCCGCGTCTCCGCTGGAGGTGGCTGGGAGGCCGGGCTGTGTCTGGCAGCTTGTCTGGATGACTGCTCCCCCGAGACAGGCAACTATGTTGTCTGTGCTCCTTCTCGTTTCTGGGCACCCTGCCCAGTCGGAGTCGGAGTAGACCTCCAAGTTCAGAAGAGCTGTGCTGTTGACTACCCTTCCAAACCGCGGGGTCGCCCGCAGGTATCGCGCGAGGGTTTCCGCAGCGAGCCAGTCGCAGACCCTGGGGGTTCTGCATCCTTCGTGCCAGCTCTTTCACGGCGAACTGTATGTCTCGCCTGTCCGCCGACAGGTAGATAGCACTACCCACGGCGCTGCGGAACCTCGCGGCGTCACCCGCAGAGAGCTCCTCGACCTTGGTCAGGTCTAGAGGTCTGCTAGGCACGGTCCCCTTGTCTTTTGGACCGATGCCCAGCTGCTCGCACACATTCTCTGCGTGCTTGCTGTCGGGCAGCGTGAGGATAGAGTCCTCTGTGCGCACCTTGGTCCTTCCCAGGACCTCCACCGCTGTGCCCGGCTCCTCCAGTTCTCCCACCGTTATCTCACAGTGCGTCGGAAGGTCCACCTCCGTGAACTTCAGCACTGCGGCCTTGGGGCCTGCGACACGGATGTCGTCGTGGTGGAGAAGGATTAGGCCGGACCGGCGGTCTAGGTACACGCACGGGTCCTTCACGCCCCGCTGGAAGTCGTAGTCCTTGGCTACCCAGAGCTTCCAAAAGACACTATTTAAGAAAACGCACCTTATTTAAGGAATTGTGCGGGAAATAATTGCTTAATTAAGGTCTTTTTCCTTATTTAAGGTGTTTTTCTAGAAAAAGTTGCTTAAATAAGGGGTTTTGGTCCTTAAATAAGGTGTGTTTTCTTAAATAAGGTGTTTTTCCTTAAATAAGGTGTTTTTTTTTGACACCTTAAATAAGGTATGTTATTTTTTATTCGTCATGTTATTGTATGCTTGTGTGGTGTATGCGTGTGTCTGTGTGTGTGCGTGTGTTTGTCAGTACGTGTCTGTGTGTGTGCTTTGTGGCCGGTTGTTTTTCCGCATCCGTGCAAGTCTGCAGCTCAGGCCAGTGTTGGCAACCTCCTGTTGTTGACACAAAACTTGCTAAGCATTTGCTTGGAAGTGCCTTTCATCGAGTACTTTCCTCCACGACGTTTTGCGTGGAGGGACAACACATGGCCGAAGCCCTCGTCTCGATACGTCCACGTCTCGCTGGGCCTGCGCTTTTGGCGGCCCAGCTCGAGAAGCAGGTGCATCTTGGGCTTTGTCCTAAAATATGTTTGCCCTGGGAATTTACTCAACTCTACAAACAAAGCTGCAAATTATTGACAGTCTTGTGAAACTTCTCGGCATCCCAATGCCTTTCGGACAAGAACTCATAGCAACTGTGCAGATGCTTCGCAGTCTGCCTCACCGTTCGCTCGAAATCTGAATTGCCCATGTGCCTTTCAGCGCATTCCTTGGCGAATCCGATGAGGTCGCGAGCCTCGCCGGCTTTAGCCCGCAACTTGGGCCACTTCTTGTTTTTGCCTTTCAGCATGAGCGGAGTCAACGTGCTCATGCGGGACTGGGACAGGTTTCGGCGATAATAATTTTGAATATCGCCAAAAAGGTTCTTGCAGCGATCGTGGACACTTCGCTCGGGGAGCTTTGTCTGCACGACCATATGAAAAAGCCCACCCATGTAGTCAGCTGCACATCCTAAATCCATGCAGTGAAGCCAATCAATGCAGCACTTCTGTACTGAAAAGCAAGGACAACTGAAAAGAGGGCTCAAGTTCTTGCCTTCAGAGATCTGCCTGGCCAGGAACTGGTAATGCGACAGGCGCGAGCTCCTGCAAGGGCATTGGCCGAATGGTCTAGAAACCAAGTTTAGACAGTTGGGGGTAGGGAAACTGCTGGGGTAGAAAACCAATTATATGTTAAAAAAAAGGAGAGGCCTCCTCAATAGGAGGCCCCTCCTTATCCTAGAAACGGAAAAATCAATGAGGAGATGCCTCCTCGATAGGAGGCACCTCCTGGAGCAAAGTGTCCTCCAAGAGCTGCTCTCGTCAACATCATGTAGATCTTGCAAAGTCGCTTGACAAAACCAGCAGATTGGGCCGTTGCCAGTCCAGCCAGGTAGTCGCAACACTTCCTGGTATGCCGACCAATCCGCCCGCACTTCCGCCAAGACTGCCCGGCAGCCTAGCGGCTGCGAGGCTCTCCTCTTTCGCCAGCTGTCGTTGCCAAGGAAACGAGACTCGTCGTGACGGAAGGACGGGAAGAAGCCAGTATAACAGCATCTCATCGACCAAGCAATGATAGCCGTGACATCATCCCAGGTAGCTTCAGGCATCTGAAAGAATTTTGGAAACCCTGTCAGTGGAAAGCGAAAGTCGCCAGCATCTGTAAGCCCTGGCAAGCTGAGGGTTGCACACTGCAGTGTCTGGCTACGGTCTGAGCTAAACGGTACACCGTCTAGCCACAGCCCCAACAGCAGGACATCATTGCCGTGCTCTTGAAGTTGCTCTTGCAAGTTGGGAATCCGAGCTTGTTGATTTCTGATTTCCGAAACATCGTTAGACTCCAGGAGAACGTGTAGCACTTCGTGCGGAAGCATGAAGGCCAGGGTGTAGAGGTCCTCCTTGCCAGTCCTTGGATTCTTGCCCCGGACTTGGCACTCATATGGCGGCGGCCACGGTGTTCGGCGAAGATTGCGCCGAAGCAAGTTCCTGGCAGTGTTGCTTCCCTGCTTAGCCTGGGCCAGATCTTTGACCCCCTTGGCGCCTGCGAGCCCAGCATTTTCGCAGAGTCGACTGGCTCTGGCTCCACTGATGTTTCCAGAAAAAAACAAATCCATGCAATCATGTCTAAATCTATCTTCCTCTGCGATATGCTCCAAACTAGATGCCGGCCCTTTGCTCAGCATGTCTGCACAGGAGGCACATCCTTCGTAGGAGTGCCATCCTAGAATTCGAGCCCAGCGAAAGCGAAATGCACGGCAGCAGAGACTTGCAACTCCGAGCGAGCAGTTTTGACCTAGCGACTCAGCGAAACCAAAACATGGCATGCAAGCCAGTTTGCCATTTTCCACAAGCCGCCAAAACTGAAGCTTCCAGCTCTCAAGATCGGATGAGCATCCATCGCAAAAGATGGATTTGTGCAAGCTTAGACACCGAAGCGGCTCTTCAACTTCTTGTTGTAGGCCGTGGCTGCAGCCAGGTGGCTGGTGGCTTCCTCACTCAGCTGGGTGAGCTCCGGCAACTTCGCTTCCATGCATCCCTCGCTCATGTTCATCCACTCGCTGATCTTGAAGCGCAAAGTCTTCAAGAAGCCTCGGAGGGTCTCGATCTTGGGCCCAACTTCGTCCGCCTCCGCTTGGGGACCGTGAGCAACCAGCTTGGCGTGCTGCTCCTCGAGCTCGTCCGCCACCTTCCCCAGCTTGCTCTTGGCGGCCTTGCAAGCACTGTAGGCCTTGTTCCAAGCCTCTTCGTTGGCGGGCACCTCCAGGTCCGGGTTGTCGAACTTCTCGACGAGCCTGCCGAGGTCGCTTCCTTCCACGTTGGCTCCAGCCCAGCGAGTTCGTGGCAGCTGTGTCCTCCGTTTCGACCTTCTGCTTGTAGTAGTACTTGGCCAGCAAGGGGTTCTTGTGAGGCTTGCAGTCGGACTTGAAACCAAACTCTGCCTCACAGTCGGCGATCAAGTCCTTGAGCGTGTCAGCAGCCACAGCCTCGTCCATGTTGCTCGGGTCCAGGCCGTTCATCTTGAGGATCTGGCTCCTGGAGAAATCATTCGAGTAACATTACAAACCAATCTTACTTGAAATGCCAACTGAAAATAAAAAACTGAGCATAAAAAAAGTCCTGTTGAAGTAGCCCTTCGTGGTGCTCTCCTTGTCCACGCTTTGCGTTTGGTATTCGCTTTGCATCTCGGCGAACCAGCTGAGGTCACGAAGCCCGCTCGTTTGCAATTTCTGCAATATTTCTTTTTTTCCATGGACGCCAGACTGTTGGTACTTCAGCAAGATATCGTTCGCTTGTTCGCGATGCTTCTCCGTCATTTTCTTAGCCTTGATTTGGTACTTGAGGCTTGTGAGCAAGCCTGCCACCTCTGCCTTGGCCATCCCCAAAGTTTCCTTCGGCTTCTGGGGCGACAAGGGCTCCGTCTTGACAGGTTCCCCTGCGGCCGACTTGGTTCGCCTTCTGCGGGGGGAGGTGGTCTCGTGGTTGCTCGGCGAGGCTGCTGCGGCCTTGGCCTTTGCCGTGGCCTTCGGTTGGGTCTTGGCCTTGGCGGTGGTCTTCGCCTTGTTCTTGGCGACGGCCTGAGCGACAGCGCTGCGACTGCGGAGGAGCCCCATCTTGCAGGGGACGGGTGCAGGAGGCGAGGAGGCCAGCACGTCAGGAGCCCAAAGCAGCTTCGTGAAAACACGTTTTTTTTTTGCAAGAATCTAGGAGGACCCTCCTTCACAGGAGGATCCTCCTACAAGTGAACATCGGTTTGGGATGCACATGCAAGGCTGAGGTGGACTTCCTAGGAAAGCACTGCAACATGTGTCCGAAAATCTTCCAAGGACCAAGCTCGACCCTCAACTTGCCAATCGCCAAAAAGGAGGGCCCTCCTTTATAGGAGAGCCCTCCTGGGAACCTCTTCCTCGTCAGTACCACACGGCACCGCAGACGGTCGCATTTTTCCAAGCGCCACGGAAGAGCACGGTCGCCAAGCAACCTGGGATGGGATTTGTTGAGGTTGTTGGTTTAGGGGTTGCTTCTAGCTTTTTCCCAAGCCCGACCCCCAGCCAACCACTAACAGCCAGAAACACCAGCCCATCCAACCCACCCCCCCACCCCCCCCAACAACACAAAACAAAACTTCTAGCCCACCAAAACTTCCCCCCCCCCCCGACACACCCCGAACAGTTCAGCACGAAAGCCCCGACACGAAGAAACTGCACCCGGCAACACCAGGAAACACAAGCCCGACAACAGACCAAACCGAAACGTTTGCAGCCAAGGAGCTCAGATCATAGCCGCCACAGCCACAGCAGAACCTGAGGCAGCAGACACCCCTAGGGTTAAAATTTTTAACCCATGGGTTAAAATTTTTAACCCTTCCTTTATATATTTAAAAGCAAGCAGGGTTAAAAATTTTAACCCATCGGTTAAAAATTTTAACCCTGGTTTTTCCCGACTGAGCTTGCAAAACTGTTTCCAAACTTGTGTTTCGTTTTCGGGGGCTGGCCTCTTTACTGAACGAAATCTTTCGGGATCTTCACCAAACCACCCTAAACCCAAAACACATGTTACTAGTACACAGGAACAACATGGTGCCAATGATGTGAAAACTCTGGGCTGCACTCTAGAAACCGATCCAGGGCCCGTGTCACCTAGTACAAGTCCAACCCGACCCAAGCAAAATACCCAAAACTAGAACCGCTGCACCCTTTTGGCCTATAGGGAGAGCCTCCTCGGTAGGAGACCCTCCCCAAGTCCACCCTGCTGCCGCCCAGCAACCATCACTTGTCCGCCGGGTCGCCGCCCTTCTCCCCCTTCTCCTTCTCCTGGTTGTCGCCCGCATGTGGCTCTCCTGCAGCAGAAGCTCCGAAAAAACAAACACACACACACACACAAACTGTCCTTGATCGTTTCCAGCTGCAGGGGCGACGGGCCTGGGTCGCTCAGGATGCAGACGGCTTCCACCGAACTTAAAGGAAAACCGAGACCCGTACGACAACACAATCCATGACCCCGTTGGCGAAGCTGGTGCCGCCGCCTGGCTCCGAGCCTCTGCTGCCTCTGCTTGGCGGCGACGTTTCTCCGGATCGACGGCCTTGGCTCAAAGCACGCACAAGCTGAAGCAAAACAGCAGAGTATTGCGGCCCAGCGGCAACAGGACCCTCTCGTGGACGTTTCTCCGCTTCCGTCTCACCCCACCATTTGCCCTTGGGGCAGCCAGCAGCCTTGGTCTTTACATAGGAGAGCCTCCTGTATAGGAGACCCTCCTTTAATCCCTTACACATAGACAGGAGCCCATGTACGATTTATACAGAGCTAGGACCCTACATTTCTACATGAAGGTTGCAATTCAGGGAGAGCCTCCTTCATAGGAGACCCTCCCTAGTGCCAAGCTGCATGCCATTGCTTGACCGATTCCTGCCATTGCTTCCGCTTAAGTCCCTTGTTCTTCTTGTTCTTCTTCTTGATGTTTTGCGAAACATTGGCACCGTGGATATCATCGAACTCCTTCGGGGTGTAGTCCGGCTTGCCTCCCTTCTGCTTGTAGGGGTTCCACGGCTCCGACCGGTTGGGGTTGTAGATATAGTAGTCGCCTTGCTCGTTTTCAGGGTTAAGGGCTCTGGCTTGGAGCTTCGGGCTCGAGGTGTTATGGGCCTTAGAGACTTAAAGGATTAGAGGATGCACCCAAACACTTCTGTAGACTGTAACCCCCCGCTACAAATAACTGCTAGCCAAGCTGCACTTTTTGTTGACACAGCCGTCTTTGCGGATGTACCCATACGATTTGCAGAACTGACAGTACCTCAGGTCATACTCCGGCTCATCATCCGGATCCTCGTCCGGCTCGTCGTCTTTCCATGGCTCCCAGTACGACTTGTCGTCGCGACCTCCTCCTCCGCCCCAGCCACCTGAGCCCCAACCGCCAGAGCCCCAACCGCCGCCGCCTGAGCCGCCGCCGCTGTAGTAGCTGGTGCCCGTCGTCGCCATTGCAACGGGCTGGCCGAGAGTGCAAAAGGAACAGGGTTCGAGCCAAAGCAAGCTGCATTATATGCATTCAGCGCACACATGGTTTCACAGCAGCAACATACAAAGCGCAAGTGCTTTGCAGGACCCAGGAGAGCCTCCTCCATAGGAGGCCCTCCTTGCAAGACAACAAGATCTCGCACGCACTTCTAGCTGCAGCTTTTCACTACACACCAGAGCATGTGCCGGATACTATACTCAGAATGTCTCTAAAGGCCGTGCCCCTAAACTGTCAAAGCCCGCAAGTCACAACCCCCACCCCTCTCACAAACGAAGTTCAATAACCATATACCAAACATATACCAAAACAAAACATTGAACGTGGAATGAAAAACAAACACCGCATATCCCAGCTAGGAGAGCCTCCTCCAAAGGAGGCCCTCCTTGACATCCTTCCACACGAAGACGTGCTTTAGGCACTGTCGAATATCGCAAGGCATCCTTTTCGCCGCTTCCAGGCTCCTTATAGGACAAAATCCTAGCCAACTGATCTAACCAGCTGCCCGGGGGGTGTCATCACTCGAAACATAGTTTGCTCCTTCATGGTAAACAAACCAACGAATATCGCTATGCCAAAGCTCGTGTACGGCTTGGACGGTTTTGCGATCTCGAGGAACAAGAAAAGCCCAAATGAGGTCGGTCGCCCTTGCACAACTGAACTGGTGGATGCTGTCGCCGAAGATGGACCATTGGACGTCCAGCAGCCAGGCCGTGTGTACCTGAGCCACCTGAAACTGGTCTTGTAGATCAAGATATTCCCAAATCCTCCGGCCAGCCTGGACTCGGGCGAGCGATTGCAGCAAGTCTTCCATTGCTGAGTTCTGCAGATGTTGGGCCGAAAAGTCGCTGCGAATATTCCTTTCAATTCACATGCCAGGAAAACAAAAGACGAACACGGCGACGGAAACTGCATGCGAAGCTTGCACACGAAATTGCAGGGGCCTTTCCTTTTGCATCTCGTTTGCTTAGATGGCAAGCATAGTGTGAAAATCATTTGCCTCGCTCACAGACATGATCAGTCAGACCTGTGCGAGGCGACTCTTACACCAATCTTCGGCATCAGCTTCTTCAAGCTCGCCGCTCTCAAGCTTCTGGACACATGCTTTTGCGATCCTGTCCATCTGCCAAACAGGGACGCCTTTTCGGCCGAACTGGAACAGCTGTGAGAAGGGAGCCTGCTTCTGCCGAATGGCCTTCTTGTGCCTGGGCGCCTTGTAATACATGATGGTGTATGTGCGCCGTCCCACACGATCCTGCTGTGCAGCAGCTACGTTCTCCGGCTGCTCCTCCGCAACTGATGGCTGGGGCTCCATGCCACTGTCCTCGTTTTCTTCGAGGCTGGCAGAGCTAGCCGAAGCACTTGCCGTTGTCGGTGCTGCAGCCGGCCTCTTCTTGGCAGCCGGTTTTTTCATCACTCGAGCAGCCGGCCGCTTCATCCGCTGAATTCGCAGATTTGGGATCTCTGTGGACACTGCCTCCGCCGAGCCAGGGAACAAAGCTTTCTGGAATCCGTCTTCGCCTTTTTGCATCGTTGCCATCACCAAAGCCCCACTGGGATAAGCACGAACCATGCAGAGGCGAGCAGAGTCGAAGTACTCTTGGTATTCAGCAGACCCGTCTCCGCCCGAAGTTTTGTCTTCCACTGGCAAAGCTGCCGTAGGAGGTGCCTCCTGAGTAGGAGACATGACCTCCTGCGAGGAAAACACTTCCTGCACGTGGGCAGGAGACAGCCCAGTCTCCTCCACCTCTGCACCTGGATCTGAAACTGGCGCCTCCAGGCCGTACTGTGTGAAGATCTGCTCCTTGCTGCTGCGAGTCGCAGGAGCCACCGAAGAGGGCGAGGGCCGAGGACTTGCAGCAGGTTTGGATGCAGAAGAACTGAAGCTGCTTCTGGAGACTTCTCGTGCCACACTGCCGCCCATGCCTTTCAAGAACATGACCACCTCACGAACGGCAGGTGGTAGCTTCTTCCCAGACGTGCAACTGCGCTTGCTGCGACAATGACATACCGCATTCACAAGCTTCTCGCACCAAGGCTTGCAAAGTTCTCTACTGGATTCCGGGAACAAGCTCATGCAGCCAGCAAGGAGTACCTTCACGGTGGGCCTGCTGGTTTCCTTCAAGACGTCCAGGATCAAAACCTTGTACTCAGCCACGACCTCATCCAGGCTTAAGTTCATATACTGGTCTGGTTTAGGGGCATCTGCAAAGCCATTCCCCTTCAATACTTTCTTGATATCCTTTGCACTCGCTTCATTGCGGGCTCGGGCCATCTCTACAGGAGGCCGCTGCAGCCAAAACAAGACTGCAGGAGGAAGTTGCACATGCATGGCATAATCTGCGGGAATGCTGCACCTATCTCTTCCAAGCAAATCAATTGCTCCAGCTCGTACGGACAAAGAGACAGAGAGAGACACAGAAACTCCGGTGTCTGTGTGTGTCTGTGTTTTTTTTTGTGTGTGTGTGTGTGTGGGTGTGTGTGTGTGTGTGTGTGTGTGTGTGTGTATGTGAAATTCTGTTTGTTGGTTTCTCTCGCTATGTATAAGTATGTGTATATAGTGTATATGACTGTATTAAAAAAAACACCTTAATTAAGGTATGAAAAAACACCTTATTTAAGGAAAAACACCTTATTTGAAAAACAAAAAAACACCTTAAGCTTAAATAAGGTCTTTTGGAAGATCTGGGTAGCTTGCCGGTGAGGACTTCTTCCAGCTCGTCCCTGTAGACGGAACCAGCCGTTCTTCGGCCGTAAAGGTTGCCGTCCACTCGGAACACAAAGTCCCGGAAGTGGTCTCGGTACCACTGCTGGTCCTTTGCAGGCTGCTCCAAGACCCATTGGTCAAAGAGCTCGCGCCACTCCACAGGCGCGTGCATGTAGACCGGGCGGCCCTCCGCCGCACCGCGGTCCTTCCCTATGAGGAAGGCGGCCACAATATCCAGACCCACCCCTCGTTGTGTAGCGCTGCTACCTCAAGTAGGGAGTGACTCTCGGGCGTTGGCGTTGGGACGAAAACATCCAAGCCAGCTTCCTGTTCTACCTTGACTTGTACCGTCCTTTGTCGCACTTGTCGACCCACTTTGCCCTGAACAGCTGCGCCCCGCGCGGTACTTCAGACCGCAGCACAGGCGTGAAAGCGCCTCGGTCCCACAGCTTTCTTAGCTGCTCCTTGCGTGCCTGCTCGACCTGCTTGGGGTCGAGCATCCGGTCTAGCAGGTCTGTCACCTGCCCGACCCACGCGTCCCGCTCGCCTTGGTGGTTGGTGAGCGGCGGGTCGGCTAAGGCAGCGATGTGCTGCCACACTTCGCGCTCAGTGGGCGCTCCTAGCCGCGGTGCCTTCTTGGGCTCCGTGCGGCTCTTCGCTGCAGGCGGCTGCTGTGCTGCCGCTGCGCTCGCGGAGGAACCCGCAGAGTCGCGCTTCTGCCCCCCTTCGCCTGAGCCGTCGTTGGCGGCTGGGGCGGGGCTTGCCGCTTGTTGCGGCAACGCGCTTGCTGCGGAAGGTGCTGCCTCCACGTCGGACGGCTCGTAGTCCGGTATTTCTGCGTTGGCCAGCTCCTCGGTAGGGCTGGCGTCCGGGAGCCTGCTGGCCTGCTCGGCCCCTTCGACTAAGAGGGCCTCGTCGTCGGGCCGCGGGCTCACCGGGCGGTAGCCGCTCCACTTCCTCGGCCGGCGTGGCCAGAGGGATTGGCACCATCATCGGCTCGCTGCGCTCTGCTGGCGCTGCGCGGCCAAATCTGGGGTTCCAAGGCAGGCCGCATGCTTTGAGGACGGCTGCCGTTTGGTGTCGGGTCTCCGGCGGGAGTCGCCTGACGCTCCTCACGTTGAGTGCGCCCGCTTCGGTTAGCACCACGTGTGAGTCGTCGCGCTCCAGCTTGCCGGCGCTTTGTTCCCGGGCCTCGGGAGCTTAGCTAGAACGGTTTCTCCAAAGGAGCAAAGTGCTCCACCATAGTCGGTGCCAGTGGCGGCCCGATATGGTGTCACCCCGTCCGTCGACTTGGTCCCGAACCGGGCTTGCAGCCAGGCCACGTGCCTGACCAGCCACGGGAACAGGTTGGACGAGGTGTCCCACTCTAAGGCGGGGTAGTCCGCTCTTAGCTGCGAAAGCCAAGTGCGAACCTCACCTGCCAGGTGTGCGTTCCTTCCCTCCACGGATCCTTGGCTTTGGTGTGACCCGCGAGGGGCGTCCCGAAGACGCACCCTAGCAGCTCCAAGCCGGCGGTGGACCGCACGGGCCACAGAGGCTATGGCGTTCTCTTGGTCGGCCTGCAGGGTCAGAGTCCAGCCAGTGGCCCTGTCTGTGAGGTTCAGCAGGCAAGCGACGCTTCTTCCTCAACTTCTTTCCCGTCCCGGCTGTAGAACTGATAATCCATGGTGACAAGCGGCGTCACCGGATCATCTGAGGGCTCACGGCGGCGGTGAGGGTCCTCGCGCGCCTTTCCCTCCACGCACTTCTCGCACCACGCCTGGTAGGGCGTGTGGTGGCGAGCTTCGAGGTCGTGCTCCGGGATGTAGTCGTAGTACCCCAGGTCCTTGCCTGGGCTCGGTGGCTCTGCCGCCACCGGTGCCACCCGGTTTGTTGACCCCGGCGGGAGCTCCCGCTCGTAGGGTAGGAGGAACTGCGACCCTCTCTTGAGGATCGAGGCTCGGACGCCGTCGGGCCACAAAATGTGGCTGTCCTCTCGGTGGAGCCAAATGCCCGCACCGGCCTCAACAGCACGGCTGATGCTGAGGATTTCGTCCTCTATGTCCTCGGTCACCTCAAAGTTGACCTTGCAGGACTGACGCTCCTCCCCTAAGACACGGCCCTTGGTCTTCAGGCGGCTGTTTTCCACCGAGTAAAGGCTCTTTGGTGGGCCCGCGGGCTGCAGGTCGGGAAACGCCTCGGGCCTGCACACGGACACACACGCCCCGGAGTCCACAAGAAGACTCCCCGACACCTTGAGGATCTTTTCCTCTTCTGGCTCGGTGTCGTGAGGCGGGGCAAACCGCACACCTAAGATGCGGTCGTCGCGCACCTGGCGCACCTGGCCTTTGCCGCCAGAGCCGCCAGTGCTTCCTCCAGCTTGGGACGCGGAGGGGCCCGCAGTCGCCAAGGAGGCTGTTGACAACGTTGTGGCCGCGTCGTCGGCCACCTGGGCCACCTGGCCTTTGTTGCCTTTGCCTTTTCCCTTGGCGTTGAACCAGCACTCTTTTACGGTGTGCCCCGTTGTCCAGCAGATGGGGCATCTCTCTTTGCCGTCTCTGCCTCCTTGCTGGTTCCCCTTTTTGTCCCCTTTCTTGCCTTTGTGGTCGTGGTCGCCCTTGCCCTTTTTGTGGTCTTTGTCCCCTTTCTTGCCTTTGTCGCCTTTGCCCTTCCCTTCTTTTCCGTCTCGGTCCCCTATTCTGCCAATGTCCATGGCGTTAGGGTCCCTTCGGGAAGAGGCGGCGTAGCCCGCACTCGGGGTCCAGACCCTTTTGGCTTGCAAGTAGCTCACCACTACCTCCCTCACCTCGGCATAAGTCGAAAGAATCGCCGCGTGCATAGCGAGGTGTTGCCGAAGAGCGTTGGGGCTCTCGGTCACCAGCACTGCCCGCAGATCCTCGTCTGCTAGGGCGCGCCCTGCGCCATACTCGGAGGCGTAGCGGTCCACATCTGCCTCCCATTCCTGCAGAGCCAAGGAGAAGTCACTCTCCTTTGGCGGGAACTTCGGCATCAGCAGGGTCCGCCTCCAGGTGAGGTTCTTGGACTCGTTCTCTGGGTTGTGCTCCTGCCACAGGAGACGCCAGAGCTCGAACCCATTCTGGCCCTTCACTCCGTGCGCCAGCTTTACAGCTGTGGCGGAGTCCTGGGTCCAGCTGCCCAGCATGCCGAAGAGGCGGACGCTGAGGGTCCGCACTTCCTCGGTCATGGCTGCCATTTGGAGTGGCGCCTTGCACTTTCGAGCTATTTCCAGCTCCGCTGGATACCTGGTGTCCACGACCGCCAGGTAAGACTCTGCCTGAAAGGCAAAGCGCTCCCAGTCGTCCCGCCCCTTAAGGGAGGTAGGGAGACGCATGCTGTTGAGCAAGTGCCCTCCACCGCTCGCCTGCGCGGGCGCAGGGGCGGGTGCCGCCGTAGCGGCTGCCACCGTGGCGGCTGCTGCAGCTAGGCCCTGTTGTCTCTGGGCCGACAACTCGCCAATCGCAGCCTGCAGCTGCTGCGCTTGGCTCTCCGGCGGCCCCCCAAGGGTTGCCACTTCCCCGCACAGAGCCTCGACCACGGGGTCGTTTTGTGGGGGTGGATAAGCCGGTTGCTGGCTCATTTTTTGAGGCGTCAAGATAGCCTGGCTGATCTCGTCCAGCAAGGTCAAGGCTTCTCCGTACTGCTCTGCCAGCCTTGGGTTGCCTTCCCAAGGAGTCGCTGGCCTGTTGCGAGCCGCGTGCCTGAGTCCGTTGAGGAACTGGCACGGCCCTTGGCCCTCGGAGCTCTCCTCTGACTCCTCTTCCTCACCTTCGTCGGCCGGCGAGGTGGGCTCTTGCTCCTGCTCCGGAGCTTCCTCCCGACCGCAGCCTCGGGCTCTGCTGGCCGGCTGTGCGGCCTTGGGTTCCTTCTTCAGTGGAGGCGGTGGTCCCAAGTGAGGTGGCGGCGCCTTCACCGTCGGTGCTTTGGCTGCCGGAGCACCTCTTGGTAGGGCCTTCGGCTCTGCCTCCGGGGTGGCCTCAGTGGGTCCACTCGCCGGGGCTGCTTGCTCCTGTGCAGCTTCGGAGCTGGGGCTTCCAGAGCTTTCTTCTTTTGCCTCGGCCGCCTTGGGCGCGGCCTTCGGTGAGGCCTCAGGCTTTGCCTCCTCGGCTGGCTCTACGGCCGCCTCTGCGGAGGCAGGCGGGGCAACCCGCTCTGCCGGCTCTTCCTTCTTAGCAGGGGCGACCGTGTTAGAGGAAGAAGCTGCAGCAGCAGCGGGCGGGGCTTCCCGCTCTCCTTCGGAGTCGCTTCCCCCGAAGTCTGGAGTGTCCTCACCAGGCGCGGGGCCTGTGAAGACTGGCACCTTGGGCACCGGCGCGGTGTCCAAGGAGGATTCCGAGCTAGGGCTCTGAATCTCCTGGCCGGCACCTGGAGGAGTCTGCTCCGGGGTGCGCGGCTCTGGGATATCAGTCCCCGGGCCCTCTACGAGGACGACCGGGTCTGTACCCTCTCTTTCGCGCCTTTCAGCGCCGCGGGCCTCGCGGTTGGCGCGGGCCGCTTGGGAACGACCACCTCGGTGGTTCTTCTTCTTCCCAGAACCCTGTTCAGGCTCTTGGGTCGCAGGCTTGCCCTTGCCGGACTTGCCTGCTGGAGCTGGCTTGCCCTTTGCGGGCTGCTCTGCTCCTTTTGCTTGTGCTGCCTTGCCCTTTGCGGGCTGCGCAGCTCCCTTGGCAGGCTTGCCCTTGGTGGGCTTCCCTGCTCCCTTCTCCCCGCGATGGGGGGTTCGGCTCCCCGACTCCGAGGCGGGGCGGCCCGCACTCGGGCCGGTTTTGCCTTTGCCCTTTTCGGGCTCGGCTGTTCTGCCCCGGTTTTGGTTCGGGGCTTCGGTGCGCTCGCCTATGAGAGGGCGGCGCGGTCGAGCTGGAGCTTCAGCGGCTCCGCTCCCCTTGGCACCTTCTGGTGCCTGACTGGAAGAGGCCTCCTCCTGCTGGGAGGTCCTCCAGTCCCACTGGGAACTCCAGTCGGAGTCCCAGTCCCACCAGCCCCACCACTCGGACGTGGCGGCTGGCGGGTGGCGGTTCGGCCCGCGCACCCAAGGAGCGTCGGGGCCTACCGAACCAGCTCCGCTACCATGCGCGGAGGTTGGGTCGCGTATTGGGCTCACTATTTTCACTCTGCAAAAGAGGGCTGCGGTGAGTCGCAGTCAGGTTAAAGCCCTTTAGCTCAAACCCTCTTCTCTCTACACTGTACAGCTACTTACCTAGGTTTCCTAGTGTAGCCTACAAAAATCTCGCAGGACTTCCTAGGTCCTATATAAGTCCCTAAGTCAAGAAACTACGATTCGACTGGTGAATTTCCGGACCTTGGGTTCTTCCTGATTCTCCCTATAGACATTGTCTATCTACAACGTATGCTGGAGGGTACTCAATCTATAAGGTGTTCCAGATGGTAAACAAAAGTATACATAATGGACATATACCAGGTATTACGCAAAGCAATATTATCCTAATTATCCCCTTGTTAATCCTGAATACCTACAAAATGTTCTAGTGTAGTCCAATGGTGTCCTATAGGATTGTCCTTAGGGGTTTTCTATGAGGTATACAGACGGTAATAGACACAGGGGGTATTCTGTGAGATAGTTGAAGGGGTATTGCAGATGGTTTTCCATAAGGCCTATAAAAGGCTATTATGTAACGTATTTCTTTGGGCATTCTATATGGTATTCCATAAGGCGTTGTATAAGGGATTCTAAAGGGCATAAACATAAACGCAAAAATTGTATTGTAGAAAATAGTCTATAAGGTAATCTAGAGGCTATAGGGTCCTCAGTACGGTGCGTGTACGGTATGTAGGAGTAGTTTATATTGTATTGCCGAGGTTAATCTATATGAAAATTTTTAAGGTTTGCAAAGAGAGTATAACGGGATTCTAAAGGCTATTCTCTTCGATTCCGGATTTCTTCCTAGAGTTCCCTCACCCATACAGTTTTATGGGGGGGTTATCAAACCTTGCGTTCTTCAGGATTGTCCTTTTGTTCATCCTTTGGTTGAAGGGTCTCATATACCAGATATTATGTGATGTAAAGGCATATAGACGGTATACACGGGCTATCATATATAGGACCATAGCGGGTTGCTATAAGGTATTCTATAGAGTATTCCAGATGGTCTTCAATAAGGCGTACGATATATAGAGGGGATTATGCATTCCATTCCGAACTTCGTAAGGCATTCTATGTGGTATTCTACAGGGGTTCCATAAGTTATTGTATATGGTATTCTATAGGGTAGATATATGGGGGATTCCTGAAAGTTTATTATAAGGTATTCCAGAGGCTATAGGGTATTCAACAAGGCATTCAACAAGGCATTGAGGTAGTCTATGTTCAGGTATTCCAGATGAAAGTTTTTAAAGTATATATAGAGGAATTATTCCAAAGGTTATCCTACAAGTAATAAAGTGTTCAAAAAAGTAAATTGCCTAGATGGGTATATGTAATATGAGGCGTGCGGGTTCCGGTGTAGCATATATATGTAATCTTGTATGAGGTACATCTTTACAGGGCAGTCCAAATGATGTTCTGGAAGGTGTATAAATGCAGGGTGTAAACGTGGAAGTGTACAATGCATCCTACAAGGTATTCTCAAGGGTATTCTATTGGCTATTCCACAAAGTATTGTCGAAGATACTCTACAGGGTATGTATAGGTCCTCGCTGGAAAACCCTGGTTTTGGAATGACAAACAAACTTTTCCTAGGAAAAAGATGGTTTTGACGTGACAAACCAACTATTTCCTAGGAAAGAGATTGTTTTGGATGGGAAAACCAACTTTTTCCTATGAAAAACAAACAAAGAAAAAACTTTCAGAACACTCTACGGCCGAACTCCAAAAAGATTGTTGTTTTGTTTTTCCAAGAAAAATGGTTTTTGGTGCAAAAAGATGGTTTTGGTGTGAAAAGAGGAAAAAATGGTTTTGGTGTGAAAATCAGACTTTTTCCTACGAAAAAAATGGTTTTGGTGCGAAAAACCAACCTTGTCCTAGGAACAAGATTGTCTTTGGCATGAAAAACCAATTTTTTCCCATGGAAAACCAAAAAAACATCTTTTTGAAGTCTGGCCACAAGTGCGTGCTCACGTCGATCCTGAACGAGTTGCCTGGCCGTTGGTATGTGATTTGAAGAGTACAGTTTTGCCGCTGAGGGCGTGCTCACATCGAACCTGAACGAGTTGTCTAGCGCGTTCTGTTGAAATGTGTGCTTGGCTTCAGCAGGCGTTGAGAGATACGGAATCCGGACCTGCCGGAAAAGCTGGTTTAACACGGTGTTTACGATACAAAATGAGGGGCGGTAGTTCTTCGGGGGGTTACCATATATATATATGTATATATATATATATATATATATATGTCTTCTTTCAAGAAACAAAGAATACTTCTGCAATAATGTATTTACCGCTTTGTTTTCCGTTTTTATATCCTTACACCAAAATGAAAGCAAGGCTGCTGCTGGAGAGAGGAACCTTCAGGTCCAGGAAGAGCTCCCAAGCGGGATGGACGACTTCGCACTTAGCCTGCAAGCAGAAGGTTTACTTAGAGACCCTTCTGTTTGCGTAAAAGATCACAGGACGTAGAAGCTAACTCTAAATTGAATTATTTCAAACCCTAATTAAACTACGTATATCCTCACTTACTACGTCTCATGATCCTCCGACTAGGTTTAGTTTCGGAGATGCCACATCGAGGAGACTAAAGTAAAGACTAAAGAGAAACACAGAGAGACAGAGAGAGAAGAAGAGAGAGAGAGAGAGAGAACTATCCAGAGCGCAGAGTAGTAAAGCATGAAAACTACGTAGGCAGGCAAAATACTTGAGCATGATGCAGCTGTCTGGATTACAGGGCAATCGCCGCAGACAGTGCGACTGAGCTCGGTGGCTAGGTCTGGAACTCAGCATGATGATAACAGTTGTCATGATGACTCACACGTGCAAAGCCAGCATAAAAGCTGTGGGCCCTGAAGCCGAAATAAACGACAGTCTCACGTGCCGAAGGGGCAAATAACATGGTCATATTGGTTGATGTTGGGTGGGCTCGGATAATGGTGCTATTTGCTGACTGTAGGGGCCTGAATAATTGGAACAAGGTTTTGGGATAAACTCTGCGATCATCACATTATGCCTTATAAACGGATATCACTAATCAGTATCTATTCCAACCAATTTAACACATGGAGACTTTCTTTAGCAATCTGAGTCTTCGTCACCCGGCTGCACCCTGGCAAGGCTGGCGAGCAACGCTGGAAGCATGACAACCAGCAAGGTGGTAAATCGACTAGGAGCCTTAATAAAAAGGGTTTAGGGTGCGTATAGGGTCTGGGCTTAGGAGCCTGAATACTTAGAATCGGGTTCCTGGGGTAGTTTTAGCAGTACAACATAGAACAAAAAATGTACCAAAACTCTATGCGAATCGTCACTGCAAAAAGAGGTGGCACCTGCGGCCTGCAGTCTTGGCAAGTCTTGTTCGAACCTCGACATACTTTAGTAGTAGTAGTAGTAGTAGTAGTAGTAGTAGTAGTAGTAGTAGTAGTAGTAGTAGTAGTAGTAGTAGTAGTAGTAGTAGTAGTAGTAGTAGTAGTATTCATTCCTCACGCAGCGAAGGATCCGATTCGCCTAGCGAGCTGACTGCACTCATGCTTTCATGAATGCAGGAGCCTCTTATGGGCTCTGCGTTGTCCCATTGCAGTCATCCTGCCGCAGCCAGAGCAAATACATCGCATCTGCATAGTGTGATTGCTCAGCTGGTTGTGCCACATGGTTATCATCCGTAATCCAGTATCTGCAGGCTGCAAAACCTTTTTGTCCATACAGCAGAGTGCGATAATGTCCACTGGTTGGTGCATCACCAAAGTGAAGTTGAGCTGCAGTGACCTGGTAGCGAATCCATCGTACTTGCATGTTGTGTGCATCTGTGAATACAGGCATCCAGATACCATCGCTGAACCCCACAAGTGCACGGCCGTCTCTGGCAATGGTCCCCTCCAGGTTCCTGTATCGCAGCAGTTGGAGACACAGGATGCGAGCTGCACGAGTCATGGCATATTTCGCAGTTGTCTGAGCACACCACCCCTCCACAGACTGCTGAAGGTGAATAACATCTCCTTCATTTGGGACTATCGCAATTGGTTGTCCCAACGGTCCGGAGTCAAGGGTAGTGACTCCGTGAACTGCATAGTTCCGTGCCTCCCAGCATCCATGCATACCCATATCTCCAAACCTGGGCAGCAAATACGTGGTAAGTTCCGCAGCATCGTGCTGCTGATGCACATTGTTCCATGCCTGAAGCAGGACACTCCAGGGCAGGAGCTTCAGAACCTTGAGAGCAGAGGAGGCAGCGGGAGCAGATACCCGATCCGACTTGCACAACATGCTGAGGGCCGACACCGGCAGCGGGAAGGTGCCGTAATGTAGACGAACCTGAAGATGTGTCCACAGGATGGCATAAATAGTTGAGTGGAGGTAGCACAGATTGGATGGATTGTGGAACGTAGTAGCAAGGAGACGCTTTAGCCGAGGGACCATGTCTAGGTCTGTTGCCACTGCTGTGCAGACGACTGCTGGTTCCATATCTCCTGGACAAGGTTGTCGTAGGCCGGGCGATCCTTTCGCAATCTGCATCCCAAGGTGTGCCATGCTGCCTGCCCGATCCATTGGGTCAAGGTGCTCCACAGAGCTCCACCCTCCTGTCTCATCGAGATGATGATCTGGAATTGGATCCAGTCCGAGGTGACTTCTGGGGTCAGTTTTCGTACTGACTTGAATCGTAGCAGGGATTCCTCGGTTACAGCCTTGCGCACATTGACGAGTTGAGCCAGTAGATCCGAGGTGGGGATCGGGCGAAGAGTGGAATCCACTTCGAGCGCCTGAGTCGTGTTGTTCCACTTCAGGTGCTTCCACTGATTCTGATCGTCCACCCAGTTCAAGCTTTTGGCCTTCGCCATAGCTTCCGCATCCTTGGCCGTCTCCGTGAGTCTCTGGTGCAAGGAGATGAGCAATTGCTTGAACATGGCCAGCTTCAAGGAAAAGGTGAGTTTCTCTGGCGACTCCTCCTTCATCGTTCTCCACTTTTCTGCAGAGTCGCACAACACCGGGATCATACCCTCCGGGCCCGACCGAATGAAGAGATGTAGTACCACGTCCTGCTTCAACGCCGTGATCATCTGTTCCTGTCGGAGGGCTAACTGAATTAGCTTGGTCACCCGGTATTCCATCCACTCCATCTCCGGGCTCGTCGGACTGTTTATGTCCTTGGTCATCTGCCACGGACAATCGTACAGCTCCGAACCACCTGTGTAAGCCCAGTTTTTCGCCGCGGGTGGATCCTGGGGCTGTGGGTAGCTCCCCTTCCCTTTCCCTTTGGATTTGCCTTTCCCGTCGCTCTTGCCCTTGCCCTTGAACTGGTTGCCCAGCCTTTGTCTCTGGTTGTACGTCTGGTCTGGGCGGTTCATCTCTGTCTCTCGCTTGACTGGTCCCGCTTGGCTCCAAAAGAGCTTTTCCTGAGCGTCCAGGTCCATGGGGTCCTCCCTGACTCCTGTCATACCTAGCTTTAAGAAAAGCACAAATATGCAGGACGTGGCATTGCTTCCAGTGTCTATCTTTGTTGATGTTGCTCAGTTTGCAGTATCGACATGGAATGACTGTATGCCGACGGAACCCCGTAAGAAGCTTGAGCGCAGCAGGCTGACAGTCCGTCCATTCTGAATGTTGTTTCGTCAAATGGTATTTGATACTGGTTGTGGTAGCCAGCCACTGAAAGCAAATGGGGCAATGATGCTGCAGATAGTCCTGGATGTCTGGCTTCAGCAGCATTTCCGTCCAGAGTCCTTTGGCCAAGGTCTGTCGGACCTCAGGCCAGTCACATAGGGGCAGAGATCTGGGAGCAGGGTGTGCCGTCTCTGAGACGTCCACATGAGAAGAACACAAAGCCAGGGGTGCAGTAGAAGCCGGTGGTCCACTACCTGTAGGAGGAGGCACTGGTGCCAAATGATCTGCTGTTGTGGGAGGCTCACTGGAGGGCACCGGCGGAATCGCGGGAAGAAGCGATTGTGAATCAGTCGGACCACGGCGTAAGACCTGGCAGCGGTTACGCTTGATATGCTTCACCAGTCCGTCCCATTGACGAAAAGCATGGCGGCAATGCCTGCAGGTGGGCAGGCCCTCAAGGCCATGTTCGTACCTATTGAAAGGTCCCTCCGTGGAGGGAGGAGTTTTCTTGGCATGGTGAGTGGCCTCATGTGCTCGAAGTAGTCGAAAGGACTTGAAGGTCCTGTGGCACTCTTCACAGTGACGTGCTGCATATGTGTCGCAGGTGGCGTCTTCCGGTTTGGTCCATTGTGCCTGCACCTGTGTATGTAGTTCCGCGGCCGTCCGCCTGACAGCATCAAGCTGGTCTTCCGTCAGAAACTTGACAGGGTGAAGTCTGTTAAGGCCTCTGTACAAGACATGTGCCTCGCGCTGGAGACATTCAGTCGCTGTGGGCTGCGAACATCTAGAGAGCAGGGCCTGAGTGGATTCATGCTGCATATGTGCAAACGATTTGGTGATGGCTCGGAGGTGCTTGGTGATCATATGTTGCATCTTGTGAGGACATCCTTTTCGTCTGGGCCCGTGGCCGCGATGCCATAAAGCAGTGTGGGTAGGACCGTTGTGCGCCACAATTGAAGTCTTTCGGACAATGCCAAGTGCCTGGTGGAGCACAGAACCCCCCTCAGCCTTTGCCATGCCTGGTTTGCAGCCTGGAGTCGGCTCGTAACCGCACATCTAGAGGGAGCATGGTAAGATATCTTTATGCCGAGATACGTGTGCTGTTCTCGGATTGGGATTTCGTACAAATGTCCCTCAGGGCTGCGAAGTCGAAGCACATTTCCGTCTTTCGTGGTGATCAGATGTCGACGCAACCAGCCTTTGATGAAGCTACCTCTATGCCTAAGGAGTATGGCAGACTTGGCCAGATTAATTACCATACCGTTGGCACGGAGTTCATCCAGTATGGTGCAAAATCTGTGCACCATGCGATCTAACCCCTGCACTGAAGTCATCGTTTCCTTGAGATGGATGTCGTCGGCATAGATGGTGGAGTTGTCACACATCCAGTCCTGGGTAAGGAGAGGGTCTTCTTTGGCCTGGAGGTCTCGATAGATCTGGGCAAGGGAAAGAATCCAGAGTAGCGGAGCGAGTTTGCAACCTTGTCTCAGTCGTTGTTGGGCTTGGACTTTCGCAGTCAGTCCTAAGTGGGTGATTACGTAGGTAATCTCCGAGTACCAGGAAAGAATCTGGTTTTTGAGCTCTAGGGGAACCCCCGAGGAGGTTAGGGCTCTGTCCAGCAATCGCCAATCGAGCAGGTCAAACGCGCTGGAGAGGTCGAGGGATAGTTGTATGCCTGCGAAATGAGCGAGTTGCTGTGGGAGCTGCGCGTGTCGGTCCACAACTGTGGGCGTAGCAAACGAACATTTCCGCTGTACCTGGTGACAATGATGGACGACCCGTTGTATCGCCTGCGCGGCGCTACGGCCCGACATGTATGCAAATTGTGGGTCATCCCTCAGAAACTCCGCTACGAACGGCTGAAGTTGTGCCTGGAGAATGGCTGCGTATGCCCGTCCGCTTGATTCAGTGAGGCCGATTGGCCAAATTCTTGGGGGATAGTGGACGTGGAATCTTCGGAATTAGCGTCAACCAGGCCGCGCGCCATAGCTCCGGAATCTGAGCCCATTGCCGTGCCCATGTGCAGAGTTTCGGAGATACGAGGTCTGCCGTGGTCCTCCACAACACATTCGTGGCAAGTCCCGGGGGGTAGCTTTATGGGACGAAAGTGCTGCCAGTGCTTTGGTCATAGCATCCTCAGAGACATCGATGCTGATGGCTTGCCTTTGAGGACCTGCCGTGGTAGGGTCAGCATCCGCCGCATACAGAGTCTTATAATGAGTCGTGAGTTGAGCCAGCTGCGTGCTGGGGTCCTGCAATTGACCTTGTGGGTCTCGGAGCTGTACCTTGACCGACGATTTCTTGGGTGCAACTGTGCGCAGGCCCGCATAAAGGGCTCTGGAGTCACCGATGTTCGCAGCATGTTGCAGATCGGCGAGACGACTATGGAACCAGGCCTTCTTGGCCGCCTTTCCAGCCTTTTTGAAGTCTTTGTGAGCGTCCTTGTATTGGTGGAAGTACCTGGAGATGCGAAGGACATCCTCCGGAGTCTGTTGTTTAGCCTGCTTCCAGGATCGGTAAGCTTGCCACATGGCCTTGATTCCTTGCTGCATGGTGGGCGTCTGCCATATGGCCAGTCGGTTTTGTCCTGCGGTTGGTGGGAAGACCCGCTTCGCACACTGTTTTAGGGCGTCATGCATCTGCTCCAAGGTAGCTATAGCTGGGAGTTCAGATTGGAGCAGAGTCCTGAGTTGCATGATACGCGGATCCATAGGATCAGCGCTGGCCTGCACGAGACCCCAGTGATCCCACTCCCGTGGGGCTGGAGGCGGTTTGTTCAGTGTATGGAATCGTGTCAAAGGCAGGCTCGCCTTAACTGGCAGGTGGTATCCTCCAAGTCTCCAGGCTGCCAGGCCAAGGGCGACCGGCCTTGCTTGCTTCGCGCGATCGTCCATTTGGGAGTGCCGCGTGAATACATGGTCTATAAGACTCGCGCCCTTCTCATGTCGATAGGTCGGTCCTGCGGCTCGGCACCACGAATTCAAGTGACACAATGTAAAGTCGTCGACAAGTGCTTGCAGGCGTGCCTGGTCTGAAGGTCCAGGATTGGTTGACTGGCCTAGGGCAATGCGTGTCCCGGCTGAACCGCTCGGCTTCAGTGGAGTATTAAGATCTCCAAGCATGATGAGTGTGTTGCGGGCAGGGAGCCTCTGTAGCTGTGCACGGATGGAGTTCCATACTTCGGACCTGGTTTCTCGGGCATCTTTCACTGCTTTCGGGTGCGAGTTGTATGCCTTTTGATAGATGTGCAAAATGTCGGCGGTCCATTGTGGATGGATAAGACGCAGATGTTGTAATCGTCCCGGTTTCGGGTCTGCGTAAACAATTTGGCAGCCCCGTGTCAAGGTCTTGTCTATGAGGATCAAGAGTCCTGCTGACTTGTTATCTGTAGTGGGTGAAGTGAAGATCTCCCAGTCAGCTGTTTTGAACTCCGGTGCAACAGTGCTGGACCAGTGGGTTTCTTGCACACACACGATTTGTGGTCGATCAGGCACGGGCATGTGCTCCAAGGTTAGGAGAAGCTCCTGCCAAAGTGCTTGGGTGAGGCCTCCCGCGTTCCAAGAAAGCGTGAGAAGTCGAGTCTGAGCACGTTGCAGATGATGCTGCTGGGCCGTTTTGGATGTAGTGGGTGCTTGTCGCCCACCTCGGTAGCCTTTGCACAACTGCTGCAGCGAGCAGATCCTTCCTCGATAGAAGGTGTGCTGATCTCCACTTTGGGCCGCACGTCGGACCGCCCTTTTGTACGATCTTTTCCTGGCGGCATCATATGTAGCACGATGCATGGTTGTCGGCAGAGGGGGGATCGGCCGGAGGTCGCCTGATGGTGCCTCGCCGGGTGCACCACGTGCCACACCTAGCAGAAGTAGGGACAAAGTTGACAGCAGGCCACGTCGAGCTGGTCCAGCGACTGGGTGACACGCGGATGAGGTCGAGGGAGCGCGGTAGGCCATCTCCCATGCGGCCTGTGGACATGAATTGCGACTGGCGGGTAGTCTATGGCGGTTCGTGTGCTCCAACGACCGGCAAGGTTTCCCATTCGGCCTCCCGGCTTGGTAACACGGAGGGGTAAGGTAGATGAATGCTGGAGCCCGCAAACACGTCAGTCGCAGTGGGATGTTGTCCTTGCTGTAAAAGCGGTACTTTGATGCACGCAGCCACCCTGAGTGCAGTGCCCACAGGAACGGGCATGCTCGGCTCTTTTGGGAGCTGCAGTGGAGAATATAGCCCATTTCGGGCTCCCTCTCTTTGTGGCAGTGATCCCGGTGGGAGCACCAAGAAGCAAGTAATGATGCATAGGACGGTTGGGGGTGAAAATTGTTCGACAGTACAAGTATGTGGGTGGGGAGTCCCGTGGGACAGTCCCCACTGCAGAGAGTAGGGATGGATGCTCCTGCCATGGCTTCCCGTCTCCAGTCAGAATGACCGGATTCGGTCTCGAGAGCGGATGGCACTCGCTCTCAACCCTCACCCTAACCGACTGTTCTGGCGCCTTCCTAGTTGGCACAAGGCGGCTGCTGGAGAGAAAGATATCAGCCGTACTCTTCAGTCGGTCTCCGGAATTGGGACCGGAGAGGCTCCAAAATGCATTTGTACGGTCAGTACTTAAAGTTGCGTCTCGATTTTGGGAAGGTGGTTCAGGCACATAGGAAGGCACTCTGCACACAGTCCCGACCATCCGACCTGTTGGCCTCGAAGCTTGCTTAGTCCATGGCATCCAAATCAAAAGACCGGGGTGCAGGAGAGGCTGGCGTAAGATGCTCCAAGCCATCTGGGGGGGGCCTGATTTTGTTGCGATTTGGACGTGGACTAAGCTTGCACTTACTTCGAGCAGGTGTGCGTAGTCGGTAGGCGAATCTGCACCACTCACATCTCGGGTCCTCCAGCCGGAAAGCCAGGCGTGTTCCTGGTAGGTCCTGCACTCATAGAGGCAGAGAGCCAACGGGAAGGGAACATTGGAGTGGAGCTGCCACGGTCCTGGGCCCAGTGTTTCATACACACCTGATCGTTCAAAGCTTAGGCGTGAGCTGAGCGAAGAAGGCGATCTGATGTTATCTGCTCTGGGCACCAAGTCCCCGACAGGTTGCAAGGTCTGGGCCGACAAAGATTCATTGCTCACTGGAAGAGTGTCCACTCCAGGGCGAGCGCGTCGCATGCAGACATAGCACGGTTCGGAAGGACCTGCCTGGTAGGCATCGGTCCACCCCTGCCGGTGAGTCCACATCAGTGTGTCAGTGACACACACAGGTTGCATAGAGAAAGGAAGCATACCTGTTGCCAGTGGAGCAGGCACACCTGTAGGTCGTGGACTGTTACACAAACAGGTAATGTGCAGAGACCCATGGCTTGCAGCATCCACCGGTCCGGCCGGCATCGAGTTCGGAGTCCTGGGCGATGGTGCGAGACCTGCATTCAGAAGTGCATTGACACTGCAAGGAGGGCTAAAGTTCACATGTGCCTGCCAAAATCCTGGCATGTGCTTGGGCATCTCTAATGCCCACGGTAGGGGGCCTGTTGTGCAGGGGTAAGTGAGACATTGGCCCCAGATCTGATCTGAGTACCACACTCTGTCAGCGGCTGTGATTGGGCACCTCCAGGAGGTACTAACTGCCGAGTCCATAGATAGGTGCATAGACATGGTGCACCAGCCGGGGGACGGTGGATAAGACTGCATCAGCCTCAGGCCTGGGAGATCAGCATCATCTTCA